TGTATGAAATTGTCATATTTGCGAAAAAAGATAAACCTTTGAAATACCTCTGTTGATAATTATCAGCTTGCAACAATGTGCTGATTTATTTAGCACATTTGAAACAATTTGTGTTATCAGGGGATGATGTTAGAACAATTGAGAATTTTCAAAATTCATAAAATTTCTCACCCTTGTCATATTATACTACTTAAAAGAAGACAATGACCAACCGATTCTTACATATTATTACAGTTAATCTGTCATGTAACTAACATCTACTCTCGGAAATGAACATATTTTACAGAAAAAACTGTTGTTAAATTATAGTTATAAAATATAATAAAAAGGAGCCCAGAGACTGATACTGCAGTAATCTAGACCTGCCAAACATTATAGACTTGCATGGGCTGCATGACAGACTGTCTGTCATGCTATGGTGACTGTAGCTGTCATTGACTTCTTTTGAGTATGATACATATAGACCTTACACAAAGCCGTTTTCAACCTTGCTTTAAAAGATTTATCAATCTTTGTCAATGACTTCTATTTAAAACATGCCCCCTAATACTTCCTTGTCTTGTTATTGTGAGCTCATGATTGCTATTTTTATATGAAATTCATATCATAAGTGTATGTCAACACAATGTCTGTAGTGGTAGTTTCACGCCTATGTCTAACCTGAACGTCTTTCAGTAGTTTCACGACAGTGCAGTTGGTAACAGAGTTTAGTTGTGGGCAATCGTTTCCACAGTATTTCTCTCCATGTTTCATGATGTTGAACATCAGAGCTATTGCATGGTCCCGTAACAAACAGCTTAAGAAGTACTATCAAAAGTAATTTTCTTTTTTTATGAAAATTTAGATCCAATAAGTTAATATGATCCCTAATAATATGTTCCCAAGGAACTAGAAGTCCATTTTCATCGATGGACTAAAATCTTCCCTCCAGAAAAGATGGTTCTTTGTGATAACTAGGACTGATTTGATATCACCGACCAAAATCACACCCCAAACAATATCAGTGCAAATTGTAAGTGTTTTGAACAACCTCCTCAGAACAATTTTGCATGAACCAAAATCAGCTTCTGTGCAGGTGCTGGTTGCATTTGGTGTTGATTTGAACCCATTTTAGTCATGTCACATTGCCAGATACTTATATGTTGGGTAATGGGATTAGTTAGGACAAATCTTGGTTCATAGGCTGTTTAGTATTGATAGCTGTTCCTGAATTCATCTCTTCAGAATTTCTGTGGAAATGGTTGTCCTTTACATCAAGGTTCCATAAAAGGTATAGGCGTAGATGTTGGCATTTAAAATGCTGCTGGCTTCCTTGCTTAAATTTGGTGCGAAATTTAGTTGAATAGAATGTGTTGCTAGTGGAGTTGTTGTTGAATAAATTGCTTGACAGGATTGGTCATTGTTTTCACTGAGATGATCTATGGCTTCATTGACTATTGATATTTGCATTTGTTTGTTTGTCGTTTACACCGCACTCAGCAATATTCCAGCTATATGATGGAGGTCTGTAAATAATCAAGTATGGACAGACAATCCAGTGATTGATATGATGAGCATCGATCCATACAATTGAGATACGATGACAAGCATAGTTGCCTAAGGCAAGCATGAGTTGCTGAAGACCTATTCTACCCTGGATCTTTGATATTCGCAATATACTCTCTAAGCTACCATACCATTGTTACAATTCCAGGGATTGTTATACAAGGCAATACCAAACAATAAATACACATATAATACATTACAGTACAATACATTAAATACAATTATTATCTACGAGGGCAAACATATTGGGGTTCATTAAAATCATATGTGCCCTAGGGTCATATCACTTCATGAAACAACAGTGTATTGTTTCCGTAATCCGGACGGCATTGTTGACGTCATGTGAATCTTATTGTGACGTGAGGTTGGAATGACGTCACACTAGAAACAAGGTCATAGCTGAAGATTGTTGACGTCATTCAACAAATTGTGGTTCCGCTGCTGTTGCGACTTTCTGTCCTTAAAGGTAAACACTAAAATTTGTCTCTGACATAGAATATTATATTTGTGTTTATGTCATTCTATGGTTACGACACTCATGCCTAAATTTCAGTATTAAGACACTCGTGTGTGTCGTAAACAAAGTATGACATGAACACTAATATAAGATCCTCTATATATGATACAATAGAAGAAAAAACTAATACAGTAAACTACGGTTATAACGAACTCAAAGGTACTACTAAATTTAGTTCGATTTAACCGTAGTTTGTTATAAGTACATATACAGCATGACTACAGCATGTAGTCGAGACCAAAAAGTAAGTTTGTTATATCCGTCAGTTCGCTATAAGCGTGTTCGTTATAACCGTAGTTTACTGTACATTAGAATGCAAACAATAGAAATAAACTACAATGTAATATACAATAGAACATATACTATTGGAAATGAATAAGGGAACAATATAGAGAAATAAGCTTTACTGTCAGTACATTTGAAATAGCGAGCATACAAATTCAACACATGTCATAATCAAATGTTGAGATGAGCTGTGTGCATTGTTTCCAATGTGTATATGGTAGACAAGGCAGGAAACCCATGATATCGTATCCTTTCACTGTGTCTAAAACTATTTGTTCCCTTATTCACTTCCATCAGTATATGTTACAACATAACACCACATGACAAATACATTACTATACAAATACAATGCAATGTAGTACCACAATACTATACAATAAAATGCCAAAACAATGTGGTACAATACAATACAATTAGATACAACACAATACTGGTACAATGCAGTACAAGATAATAGAAAGCAATACTACACAACAATACTGAACAATAATACCAGTACAATAAAATGTACAACACAACACTAATACAATGTGGTTCAACAATACAATGTAATGCAACAATACTGATACAATGCAGTACAAGATAATACAAGGAAGTACAGAGTACAGTACAGAACGATACTAATACAATAAAATGTAATACAACACTAATATAATGTGGTACAACAACACAATACAGCTTATAATACAACACACTACTGATCGATACAATGAAGTACAAGATAAAACAAAGCAATACTACACTACAATACCAAACAATAAAACTAATACAATAAAATTTAGTACAACATAACACTAATATAATGTGGTACAACAATCCATTACAACATAATACAACACACTACTGATACAATGCAGTACAAGATAATACAAAATAATACAATGCAGAACAATAATACAAAAAAATGCTAAAAAGAATGTACAACAGAATGTTCATACAATACTTGTGCAATACAATAACAACAAACAACACAACACAGTCGTAATACAACACCAATGCAATGCAACACTCAAACAACACTATAATAATTTTAACCTGAACGTTTTAAATCGGAAACAATATTGCTCATTTGAATATCACACATGCCTGCTGAATTATATATATAAGACTCTAACGTAAAAAACAGAAAGGGGTGAACTAAACAAATGATCAGTGGTGTGTGACTGACGATTCGCTCTATCAAGGTACGAGGATACAAAGACCCGCGTTCGTGCGGCGAATAAAGTGTATACCCTTTTGTGTGTGTCTGTGTCTGCTGTGTGCGCGTGCGCGTGTGCGCGCGCATATAAAGTAGCCATTTCAAACGTGGTAAACATGGCAATAAATTAAAACACAATTTGTAAAGATATGTATGTAGACTGGCATTACTGACCCAGTTAATTATGCTCAACGGAGGTACTTAAGGTGTGTTGTCTAGAATAATAAGGAAAATTAGGTCATTAATCATTTTCTTGACACAGGTAACCATTATATTTTCATTTTCCAGATTAAATTCCTCGATTGATCAAACATGCTTCTTCTAAATTGACTCTAACTACTTGTTTTTGAGGACACTATAATGAAAGTCTTTGGGCTTGCTTATCGTTAAATGTAATTAAAAACAATTATCGGACAGGAATATCTCTAAGAGGAGTTCGTGGGATGATGGGTGTGTGTCTTACTTCTCTCTCACACAGGTAATGCGGAGTTGAGTCTCCTGCTCATTGCAAGAGCGACTACATCGGGATTAGACCGTCTCCGTGCTCTTTTGGTAGAGCGTTCGCTCGGAGAGGGGAAGGTCCGGGGTTCGATCCCCGGCTGCGTCATACCAAAATACTTTAAAAGATGGTACTTGTTGTTACCCTGCCTGGCGCTCGGCATTAAGGGGCTAAAACAAGGACTGGTCGGCTTGGAGTCAGTATACTGTGTCTACGTGGGGTATTCATGTTGAACTGCGGCATGGTATCTCAATGAGCTAGCACCATAAATCGGCATTAGTCCTTTTTCAGACACCTGAAATATGAACTTGTTTGTTTGTTGTTTAACGCCGCACTCAGCAATATTCTGGACTAGAAAATCCAGTGATTAGCATCATGAGCATCGATCCACGCATTTGGGATACGATGACATGCATCAACAAAGTCAGCGAGCCTGACCGCCTGATCCCGTTAGTCGCCTTTTACAACAAGCATTGTCGCCTTTTACGGCATGCATGGACGCCTCCTTCGACAAGCATGGGTTGCTGTTTAGCTTCTAACAGATCGCGAAAAAATAATGTCCTTTGTGTACTGTTATTAATAATTTAGTAGCTTACGGGGGAGCACATCATGAAAATAATATGTATCCCCCACTCTGTGTTCTTACTCACTTTTACCAGCCCTAAACATGAATAGCGGTTGCTATATAAACATACTGACATTTGTTTAGAATAATTTGTACTTTATCTTGGGCTATGAAGAGTGCATGTTACGCCTTCCCTAACAGCAACACAGAACAATTAATGGGATGTCGTAAACATGTTGATATAAGATCAAGCCTGTCACAGCACAAATGTCTGCCATAATCGATGCCCATAAAACCCTGGGGATTTTCATCAATCAATATTTAATCAAATATTGATTTTTACACTATTGTTTTCATATTTTCTTCACTGACAGAAGACGCAAGCTCAATAAACACAACTACCAACTCCATACGTTACGTGGAACCTCGTTTATCCAGACAATACAGATCTAGAGTTGGTGATAGTAACGAGTTACAACACTATCACGGAAATGGACAGTTATAAATTCTTGCCACAGGTAACGACGATTTGTTGTACACGTTTTATCACTTCGAAACACAGAAACCGTTTTCAGTCGTCAAGGCGCCGAAACAAAACGTGCCACAATTTCACTTAATGGCCTGTTTGATAAACGCCTTCAGCACTCCGATAACGTTCATTAATCAGCGTCAGACGGGAAGGTAGTGATGACGACGATGGAGGCCGTATTGGGTCATTGACTGTTTATCGCAGTGCTAACAAGGCTAAATAAGTTTCTCCTTAATCTATTCCTGCACCCATAGGAGGACACACCGATAAAACGCCGAGTTTGATCAAATGAGTAAATGGTCTTATTTCAGGTAGTGCTTCTTGCAGTCAAAGACCTATGCGCCTTCTCTTTCTGCTGAAGCGTTTCGTCTACTTCATCTGCTGGAGTGTGTCAGTCCAGTAATTACCAGTTATTGCATTGTGGATCTTGGGATGAAGGAAAGACGTCGATAGGCTCGCCTTGGATGAAGATCTGTAGACTGTGTTCTAGAACCACGGACATTCTGACTGATTCTAAGGTAAGATGCGTTAACATTTCGCCGCGCATAGGTGCCGTTTAGGAAGATGTGGACATTATCCCAATTTACATTAGTATGATAATCTATGCCGTAACGGTATCTGGATACTCTGACAGAACCTTATTAATCCACACTGCGGCTTCAAATGTCTTATGGTAATTAGTTGGTCTGGAATCTCTTCGTCCTCGTTAATCGTCCGTGTCATAGTACAGCGTCCGTGGTGTAGTGGAAAGAGCGTCTGTCCGGAGAAGTGAAGGTCGGGGGTTCGATTCCCTGACAGCGTCATACCAAAAGACGATGGTAATTTTCGTTACCCTGTCTGGCGCTTGGCATTAAGGTGCTAAAACAAGGACCGGTCGGCTCGGAGTCAGTCAACTGTGTCTGAGTGGGGTATTCACGTTAAACCTCGGAGTGCATATGAGTATATAATCTCTAAACCCGTCATTAATCCGGACTAGTACAAGCAGCCACACACATAAACACACGCGCACCACACTAACACGTCACTATTTAAGTGCAATATTCTTGAAGGCGACGTTAAACTCCGTTGCACCTCACATCACCTGTTTTATGGTACAGTAAACTACGGTTATAACGAACTCAAAGGGACTACTAATTTTAGTTCGTTATAACCGTAGTTCGTTATAAGTACATATACAGCATGACTACAGCAAGTAGTCGGGACCAAAAAGTAAGTTCGTTATATCCGTCAGTTCGTTATAAGCGTGTTCGTTATAACCGTAGTGTACTGTATTATACTAAAAATGTAAGTTACTGTTTCACTGAAATGTACTGGCCATAAAAACACAAACAATTAGCACGTCAGATGTACATGGCCATCCTGCTAAATCAATTCATGTCTAATGTCCAGCGAAAGATTGTTCTATAGGTTATGACGAACATCGCAAACGTGTCATGTAGGTTCTTGTGATCACTGGGCACCTGGGGCGCTGGGGTAGACGAGTGGTAAAAGGGTTCGCTCGTCACACCGAAGACCCAGATTCCTTTCTCCACGTGGGTACGACGTGTGAGGCATATTGCTGGGCCCCGCCGTGATATTGACAATCTCATTAAAATCAGATCTTAGTTCTCGCTATAGCTGAACAAAGATCTTAGGACATCCCATTAAGGGTCACGTCAGAACGACCTTTCATCCAACCAATCAGAGCGTCGCTTACCAGATCATGAAAGTGACAGTCGGAATTTGTTTTCTAATCATGCAACCACGAAATATTAAACATGGGGTATTCCGAACGACAGTTACGGGTTTTATGATTATATCCATACAATCTAGGCCATCTGTAAACCATTCCAGAATGTTCTTCTTATCAGTTTTAATTTTTTTAATCGAGAATACGTCAAAATATGTTTCGAAGCGTTGTCGCCAGTTTGTAACTAGTGTCGTTAAAGTTCGAGAAAGCTGCCTTCTGATTGGCTAATGTCGATTTCTTGTCAGTCATTTCATTGGTCGGTCAAAATTCGCGAAAGGTCGTTCTGACGTGACCCGCAATTGGATGTCCTCAGATCTTGTTTAGCGGTAGCGAGAACTAAGTTTTGATTTTAATGAGATTGTGATATTGATGGAAAGTTGTTAACAGCAGCGCAAAACTGTACTCACTCGCTGTTACACGAAATATTGATTCGACCGCGATCACGAAGTTTCGATGTTTATGAAACAAATTAAGCCATTTGAAGGAAACCCTTTATGACACATAAACGAGACTAGGAGATTTCTTCTTTGATAGGCATTTAGAAGTTGGAGTACTAAGTAAGGATGCGATTTTTTGATGAACAACGTCTTTATAACATTTAAGAGCGACGTTTCGGTGTAGCTTCTAACACCGTCACTTGCTTTATAACTGTGTTAGAACCTACACCGAAACGTCGTTCTTAATTGTAATAATTTAAAGAAGTTTTTCATCCATAAATCTTATCTTTACTGAGGCTAGATGTCCATTGTAAGAACAGACAACAGCGCTGTCCTCGAGAATGGTTGTATGACGTCTGTACAACCAACGTTGTTAGACTGCACTCAATTCTTCGTGTGTATTAGCATTAAGCTGGTGTTTAACATCATGGGGTTAGAATGGTTGTATGACGTCTGTACAACCAACGTTGTTAGACTGCACTCAATTCTTCGTGTGTATTAGCATTAAGCTGGTGTTTAACATCATGGGGTTAGAATGGTTGTATGACGTCTGTACAACCAACGTTGTTAGACTGCACGCTAATTCTTCGTGTGTATTAGCATTCAGCTGGTGTTAACATCATGGGGTTAGAATGGTTGTATGACGTCTGTACAACCAACGTTGTTAGACTGCACGCTAATTCTTCGTGTGTATTAGCATTCAGCTGGTGTTAACATCATGGGGTTAGAATGGTTGTATGACGTCTGTACAACCAACGTTGTTAGACTGCACGCTAATTCTTCGTGTGTATTAGCATTCAGCTGGTGTTAACATCATGGGGTTAGAATGGTTGTATGACGTCTGTACAACCAACGTTGTTAGACTGCACGCTAATTCTTCGTGTGTATTAGCATTCAGCTGGTGTTAACATCATGGGGTTAGAATGGTTGTATGACGTCTGTACAACCAACGTTGTTAGACTGCACGCTAATTCTTCGTGTGTATTAGCATTCAGCTGGTGTTAACATCATGGGGTTAGAATGGTTGTATGACGTCTGTACAACCAACGTTGTTAGACTGCACTCAATTCTTCGTGTGTATTAGCATTAAGCTGGTGTTTAACATCATGGGGTTAGAATGGTTGTATGACGTCTGTACAACCAACGTTGTTAGACTGCACGCTAATTCTTCGTGTGTATTAGCATTCAGCTGGTGTTAACATCATGGGGTTAGAATGGTTGTATGACGTCTGTACAACCAACGTTGTTAGACTGCACGCTAATTCTTCGTGTGTATTAGCATTCAGCTGTTGTTAACATCATGGGGTTAGAATGGTTGTATGACGGCTGTACAACCAACGTTGTTAGACTGCACGCTAATTCTTCGTGTGTATTAGCATTCAGCTGGTGTTAACATCATGGGGTTAGAATGGTTGTATGACGTCTGTACAACCAACGTTGTTAGACTGCACGCTAATTCTTCGTGTGTATTAGCATTCAGCTGGTGTTAACATCATGGGGTTAGAATGGTTGTATGACGGCTGTACAACCAAGGCCATTAGACTGCACGTCAATGCTTCGTGTGTAGTAGCTGGTGTGGAACATCATATTCATAAAAACATGGCCATGATACATGAAATATTAAATTTCCCCATCACTCATTAGATACCAATGACATCATTGAAAGGCATTTTCATAAATCGGTTGATCCGAATATTTCATTAAGAAGAACAAACGAGTTCTAGAACAGATGAGGGGGTTCAGGGAAGCCAACAAATAATTATCGTTATATCTGTCCCCTGAATACGAACAGCATCACTATCGTCGCGATAGCCCTTTTAACGTGATGATTTCAAAATGCAAGAAATATAAAGTCAGTTCGAAATCCATCTTGGGTATGTTGGAACTGAGGTCTTTATCGAACATCGAACCTGAACTACTGTCACATGACTACTTATATTCTTTTACCTATAACTGCCCAGTTTGTACGGTATAACATTAGGGAATTACAAGGTCCATATTAACGCAGTTTTAACTTTCAACATTAGCCACCAATATAACAAGAACCCATTCCATAACTGTGCTTTACCAAGCAGACATCACTGACTAAGAAAAGAAACACACAAACCATTCATTCCCAACTCTCTTATCAAATAGTCGATATGAGTTTATGGCAAGATATCCAAATCATATTCACTCAGCAAATAACAGAATCATATTCGGCTCTTACTCGTTCTTGAAAGGTAATGATTTCCGCTTCAGCCCTACCACGCAGTAATCACAGGGAGAACCAAATATTTGCCTTGAACAATTATTGGCTGATAAATCTCGGATAGGGAATACCAAGTAGCAGGACCATGTGTCTTGGAGAACTAGAAGTCTTATCTTACAGTTTCAGAGAGCCTTATAAAATCTATAATCTCCTTGTAGACAGAGAAGTACCTTGATTTATGTTCCAATGCGACCTTCGTTAGTGTAACGCGTCTTAAATATTACCAGGGAACGACGGCTATCAATTTTCTAGTCCCTATGCTTTCTTGAGCACGGGGATAATCACCGCATGAAATAACGATGTCTACATTTAGAGATGTTTTAATCGATATTAGGTATATGTAGTGTACTTGGGTGTAATTATGCCATGCTGAGATAGACTTGAATAGAGTCTGTGGATATAATGCATGTGACGTCAAGATATCCACGATTTATGTTTGTTGTTTAACGCCGCACTTAGCAATATTCTAGCTATCCAGTATTAAATATTGGCACTAGTCCTGTTGTCCTTGCAAAACTGCCCACTAGTTAGGGTATCATAAAGACTGGCAGAAATTTGCTATTTTGAAGGGTTTTGCTATAAGGACAAGTGGACTCCAAATATTAGTGTTACCGCTGCCATCTGGAGGCAGTACGTATATTATCCAATTTGGACAAGACAAAACCAGTGATTGATATTATGAGCAACCATCCATACTACTCACAAAGTCACCGACTACAGATCCCTTTTATCACCTTTTGCGGCCAGCATAGGTTTCTGGGGGATAAATTTTATTATCATTTAACTAAAACATTTATCCATCACATAAGCTTATGACATAAAAACATGTATGTCATACCCCAATGACATAGGTATGCAAATTAGATAGACGGAAGTGGGACTTTTTTCGCCGGGGCACGTGAGTAGGTGTTTACAAACAACATGGATACCTTATGTTGATATGGAGTGGTCCCAGTGTTTACAGCGATTCGCTGTGCAGAGTTGCGTCCCTTGGGCACGCCAGAAACCTATGATTCTGGGTTCGAATCCCGGTTCGCCCCGATTATGTTTCTAGGTTTGTCAGCACCATACCCGTGCTCGTGTGTTTCACCGAAGTGGTAA